TGGGCTCTCCTGCTCGGCATTTTGCAATCCATGTATTGGAATATAAATGAATACAGTTAAAAATATTGGATGACACTGCAGAAAAAGGAAAACCTTTCATTATCAAGTGTTTAAATAAAGAAGAAAGCCTTTTCCCGATGAGCGATGGCTCTAAGGGATAAACAAGTCTTTTCCCACCTTCAAAGCAGAACCAACATCCCAGCATCATCCGACAGCTTGTTCACACCTTTACCTTCTATTTCCTTCTCTTTCATTTGAAGGGTTACGTCATTTTGAAGGATGGTTTTGCTAATGCTTGGAGCTCTTCGAAAGTACATTTAAAATGCAAAAGCTCAGTCTTAATGCCAGTGAGATGTGCAATGATGGGAATTTCACCAAAAATCNGTGGAATGAACCAGCTCTAATGGACACGTTCCAGGATGGATTGTCTGAGGCCTTGTAGGATGAACTGGCGAGGGTGGACAGGCCACTGACGTTCGACGCATTGGTCCACCTGTGTCTCCGGATAGATGCCCGGCTGCAGAGGCGAAGGCGTCGCCATGCATTCCAGGAGACCACCAGCATGCTGGTTCAGCAAGGGACTGCAGTGGACTGGGAGGAGCCCATGGTGTTGGGTACTGTCAGATCTCGAGTGTCATGAACAGAGATGGACAGACGACATGCTGAGGGATTGTGCTTTTACTGTGGGGATCTTGGACACCTGGCAGGGACTTGCCCCAAGAAGAACAGAAGGGTTGCGCGGACTGCAGCCATCCCTCAGCAAAGCACTATCATGTCGGACAACCAGCACGTTTGTGCAGCCATGATACCCCATTCGCACAAGGTAGTGTGCGTTCGGGGGATATGGAGTCCCAGGGTGGATGCCCTGCCGAGTAAAGTAGAGAACTCTGACCCTGCGAACTCGCTTCCACCTTGGACTGTTCTACCCGTTGCATCCTGCGCTGCCGTTTGCCATCCCATGAGCACACAGTCTCTGATATGGGATGTGCAGCGGGGTGACGACTGGGTGGAGTGACGAAAGGCAGAAGTGGGGCCGGTGTCTCCATGGACTTTGGAAGGGGATCTTTTGAAGTGTCGGGGCTGGCTCTATGTTCCCGCAGGGCACATCCATCGACAGGTGTTCTCGCAGATGCATTGCGCATCTGCATCAAGACATTGGGGGTTTGTTCGGACGTTGCGCCTGGCCTCCCATCAATTTTGGGGGCCCCATCTGAAAAATGATGTCCGGTGGTGCGTGAAGTCATGTGCCCAGTGCCAATGGGCCAGGTCTGCAAGGAGAACTCTGCCAAGATTCCAGCCATTGTCGACTCCAATCCCCGCAGCACTGGACTTTGTTTCTAGGTTCCCAGCGGGGTACCAGTGTCGTGGACCGTGTTCCGTGGAGGCCATCACCAACCGTTCTGGGCCACACCCCAATCATTGAAACCGGGGGAAGGGCTCTGCGGGAAGGGATTGTGTGGTGGCTCAGCAGGAGTCAGTGGAGCTGCTGCCAGACTTCGACGGTGAGGGGTCATGTGGGTTGGCCTTGCAGAGGGTGGAGGACCCTGGACAGGGTGTTAAGGCTCGGCCAAAGCTGGTAGAGCTGCCGTCAACCTCCGACAGTAGGGAGGCTGGTGGGTCAGCCTTGCATAGGGTGGAGGACCCTGGACAGGGTGTTAAGGCGCGGCCGAAGCTGGTAGAGCTGCTGTCAACCTCCAACGGTAGGAGGGCTGGTGGGTCGACCTTGCAAAGAGTGAAGGACCCTGGACGAGGTGTCGACGCCATGAAGGGCGGCAGGAAACATGGTGGCCACCGGATACCTAAGGAGTTCCGATTCAAGGGGGCTATTCATGCAGAGGTTTGGGACTCATGAAAAAGGCACCACAGGAAATGGGTGCGGGCCATCTTGTGGACAAGTCATTCCGACCGCATCCAGACCATCGGAACCCGGGGAAAGGGCCCTGCGGTGGGGGATAGTGTTGTGACTCAGCAGAAGTTTGCAGTGAGTTGAGTTGGGATGCAAGATTAACACTGCAGCCGAGAACTGATAAAGTTATTTCCTTTTAAGTTTGTCTGCCTGTCGTCTGTTAACAAGCAGAGAAGCGGGGACAGAACATCTATCTATCATCTATCTATCTATCTATCTA